CCTCCTCTCTCTCTCTCTCTCTCTCTCTCGCTAGAACTCACTCTTCACTTACTAAATGGAAAAGTCACGCGGTTGGATATTATTTAGTGAAGAAAAAAAAAAAGGGTATTGGAAGCTGCCTTAGAAAGTTCATGACCAGCCGCCAAAGAACATTGCAAGAACATTTCAAAATGACGGTGTAAATAGGTTGTACCAAATGATGGTGCATAGGGCACAGTGTTCGCAAAATAGGACTGGAGCCGTTATCCGGACAAGGATCTGGAAGCAGTTTAACTGATCTAATTAGTAAATCGGTTGATTCAACCGCTCTAAACAGACACGTCTCAAAAAGTGTTAAAAAAAAAAAATCTACTAAACTATGAAAAACATATAAGGAATGATTAAAACAAAATAAATTCAAATGAAATAGAAATTTTTTTTTTTAAAAAAAGGATTTTAACTCATTTTATATTTTCCAAAGGCTATTTTTAATTTTTTTAAAAAAAGATGGGAAAATATATAAAAATGAGTATTAATGACCAAAACATTTTTTTTATCTTTACCATAATGTAAAGAATATTTAAAAATGCATTACAAATCAAATTCCTTATTCCAAAACCAGAACTGGCCATTGGCTGGTTCCTATCTATCCGGGCAGTTAGCGGATAGATCGAGCGACTTAGCAAACAATGATATGATGGTACGAAACACCTATAAAAAGGGGTGACATTCAACATATTTGGACAATCCAAAAATCTATAAAAAAATAAAAATAAAAAAAAGTAAAAAAAGGTTTCGAGAGATATATGTAAAAGAAACCTCAAAAGAAAGGTCATGGTCCCTAAAAGACCGTTATATTTGTTTGTTATCACAATTATTTTTATTGTATCAATGAAATAGGGAATTATCATTCAGTTGATACTGCTTCCTCTTCACCCTTATTATTATTTTTTACTATTTTCCCATCAAATTATTACATCAATGCTCCTGCAAATTTCCAACAGGGAGACAATTGTTCCTGTGCAGGGAACTAAAAATGGTTTCATTGATCGTGTTGTTGATGAAGTCGTTGGAACGAGTTCATCAGCTCCAAGATGTCACTGTGGATGAGGTTGAAGAGCGACAATTGGTAACCTAATGTTACTACGGGTGGACCGGCCTAGCTGGCCCGGTCAACCCGACCCTAAAAACTAGGGGCTTAGGTCACATAATATGGCCCAAGGGGCTAGGGAACCATGGCTTGAGGGTAGAACCATACTGGACCTAGGCTAGGGTCGGTCCAGCCCGGCTATCTTTTTCTTTGTACTTTTTTTTTTTATAATTTTTTATTTTATTTGGGCTAGCTGTGTAGGGGTAGGGCCTCTTTGGCCTAGACAGGCTAGGCCAGGCCTGCACCCATCCTATGGGGACTATGGCTGAGCTAGAGGCAAGGCTGGCCCGGCCAAGGTCCGGCTTATTGCCAACCCTAAGGAGAGAGCAATTCCTAATGGAAAAATATCTCCTTATCTCCATCTCTCTCTCTAAAACTCCATCTCTCTCTAAAACTCCACTCTCTCTCTCTCTTTCTTTGCTTCTTGGTGAGTTTACCATCCAAGGGGTTTAGCTTGAGCTCGAACACGAGCACACATTCTTA